TATTATAATTATTTTCTTTTTAAAAATATGATTCCATTGCGATAGAAAATTTCCATGTTTCAAAACTGAAAATAAATTTATAAATTTAATTATATTAAACTTAAAATCCATAGACTCATTCCATTGTCAAGTGATGATAGGAATAAACTTTCAAAGAAATTTACATGTTGCAATGGAATCATATTTTAAAAATAAAAAATTATATATATATATATATATATATATATATATATATATATATATATATATATATATATATATATAAGTGAATCTCACCATGGTTGATTTGTCAGGAAGCCGACTTCCTGATATTATTAGACTGGATAGAGATCAATCCCAGCATGCAGCACACTTGAAAAGGGCCTGAAAGCCATACCACAGGTTGACCCAAGCCTTGTGAGTGAAATTGAGTAGACAGAACTCTTGTGGGCCGTTGATAGCTGTGCTAGCACACAAAGCCACAAGTCATCGCTTGAGCATGCTAGTCTTGTTCAGATTGTTGATCACGCTAGATAACATTCCCTCTCCCAGAAACTGTAACTAAGGTCTGCTCAGCATAGTTGCAGCATAAACCACAGGTTGGCTCTGTGGGTGTTGAACAAACACAAATGTGCTTGAGCAAGCATCTGCAATACAGATTGGCTAGCCGCCATAGTAGACGGGTATCCGCAAATACAAGTGGCCACCTATATATATTTTAATTCTTGATGAATGTTTGTAGGATGTATAATTGCATCAGAAGCAAAATGTGGAAAATTTTAATGACGTGTTTTGCTGGAGAAGCTTGTACCCTACTTGGTTTCTTTGGCCTAAAATGAAAGACCACCTTATCCTTAGAGAGCACAAGCATTTTCCTTGCATACAATTTTGTCTTTCTTTCATTTTAGCCTGATGAAAGCCAAGGTGAGCACATGCTTCTCTGATAAAATGCATCATTAATAAAATTTTCCACTTTGCCACAATTCCTAATGAGTAAAATGGGTTTAGTCATGAGAAGTGGGGATACAACTCCAAAAATAAAGTCATTCAGTCTATGCTTTGTGACATGTGATAAAACAGAAATCCCACAGATAGCACACAAACAACAATTGGAAAGCAAAATGGATCATGGGAAATGGTTGTGGTTACATGATTTAGAATGTTGACACCAAGCAAATACAAGAACAGTAGCAGGATTTACAGATGAGCAACAGCAATTCAAACGTACGAGTGAGGGAATTGTTGGAGAGACCAAATTACATTTAGAATGCGATAACTGGAAAACTTTTTCAGGTTCCATTCACAGAAAATTTTTTTTAAAAAATAGTGGAAAGTGGGCTGTACAAAATCATTCAAATTTCTGAATAATTCGACTTATAAAGTCCATGTTTAAGGAAGTTGGTATTCACTTAAGAGAACAACTGAACAAACTCGTTAGTGATAATTTGAAGACAGCAATAGAAAATGAGTGACGGTGATCTACTGCATTATCAAGCTTTTGTTTCTAACCAACAAACACAGATTGCTAAATGTCCAAAGTGATAATGGCTTAATAAAATGATAGAGTAAAAGCCAGAAACAGAAGGTTTAATCCCCACCCCCCACTACACGATTAGAACTTTTAAATTGATAATGTGTCTATTTCCCTATTAAACAAATTTGAGAATAATAAAAAAAAAAAAAAAAAAGAGAGAGAGAGATTGAAAGAATTCATTAATTACATCAGAAATCTTTATCATTCAGCCATCAAACCACAACAGCAAATTGCCAGTCATCTGCAATTAATGTTCTAAATTTAAATGATGGTGTTTAACACACACACGCATATATATATATATATATATATATATATATATATATATATATATATGTGTGTGTGTGTGTGTGTGTGTGTGTGTGTATATATATATATATATATATATAATATTTCAAATGTTATTTTTAGTGGATACCCATGTGAATACACAAACCTTTTTTAAAACAGTTTCTATTCCATTTCTTTGCTTACTTGAGAAAACTAAAGAAAATGTGTTCTCTGAGTTTTGAGTATGACTTAAATAGTTTATACTATTTAAAAAAAAAAAAAAAATACAGGATGTATACTCACCTATAGGTATCCACTAAAAAAGAACATTTGAAGTAATAAAAATGTTTGATTAAAAATAAATCCATCAGTTCTTCAGAAATATAATATAAAAAGCCAATGTTGAGTCAATCAGCCAACAACACTAAGTGTTATCAAATATCAAAGAATTTTTTTTTTTTAGTTTTTTTTCTTCTTAGAAGAACTCAAGTACTGTCTGTAGTAGTATTCATTGAACCAGTATCATCATTTTTATTGTTTCTATCATGGAATCTTGGCTTTTCTTTTGATTTTTGTAATAAATTTTGGGAAGCTTTGAATAGAAGCATTTATTTTGATCTTAACTTTGACTGTAGAAAATAACTTGTCATTCCAATTTGAACACTTCACAAACATTCATGTTACACATGCCAGTATGAAATGATCACAGCTTATCAGAAATTACTACACACAAACAAGGAAGGATGAACAACAATGTACCAGCCAGAAAGATTGTGACTAAAATATTAAAAGAAATTAGCACAAAGGTATTGCATGTTTATTCATTTTCAAAACTGCTTAACCTTTTCATGCTCAGTGTTCATTTTAAGTCTTTTTTTTTTTTTTTTTAAAATATACCAGACAAACATTATTATAGATGGAAAATGCAATATGTACTGACATTTGTTAAAATACAATTGTTTATTTTGGTATTAAAAGTCTTAAAATGTTCCACTAGTGGAACAAATGTCAGTAAAAACGGGAAAATATAAAATTTCTTTTGTATCATCAATTAGTGATTTGTTTTTTCTTTTCATACATTTACTATTAATTTATCTTTATTTTTATAATGAAAGGTCATAGCCATTCTTAATTGAATAGAGAGTGGAGGAAAAAAAAAATTCAAACCCAGTTCTAGCTGTCCATCACAATAAAAAAAGTAAATAAAAAGAAATAAAAAAATTTGAATTAAAATTTTCAAACATCTTTGTCTATATTTCTGAGATGTAGGTATTGTAATTATTTACATAGTTTGAATTGTTGTCATGGATATGGTGATGAAGACAACAATCTGAACAATGTAAATAATCTAATTTTAAACTTTAATGATGATACATGTTTTAGTGCCAAAAATAATCAATTATTAATGAATATTTTTTAGCAATGGGGGGGGGGATAAAATTGAATATGGTAACCATTTTGAAATTCATGTCTATTCATGTAAAAAGTTACAAGCTGGCCATATTTTATGCAAGCAAGTTATATATTCCACCCATACAAATTTTGTATGAATTATACATTACAATATGTAAAACTTGTAGCTAATTTGACTTACAAATTCAAAACAACCCTCCAGACAACATACTCCTTCAATAGACTTCTAGCTAGAATGACTCTTGGGCCTTGTATAACATAACCTAATTTTTTTTTTTTGTACAAACTCATTTTTTACAACTAGACTTATTAGTGCCAATCCAATAATATTTTTTATTACATTAATCATAAATATTAGTTTTAAAATATGAGAAATTCATATGAACGTGTAGGTATTATGAAAATTAGAGGCTTGGAATGTGAAATCAGCGACTCGAGTTCAAATTCCAGCAGAGTTTGTTACATCCACAAACATTAAAAATAAATGTATGAATCCATCTATTCTCCTCTCCAGTTAAGAGTTAAATAGTAGGGCAGACTAGAATCTCTAGCTATAGCTGGCCACCAACCATGACTAGAGTTGCCAGTGTTATTGAACTGACTGACTCAACATAACCTTTACATTTCAGTACTTTGTTTATTACATTGTAGTTTTTCACTTAATAAATATCAAGGGAACTAATTCTAATTCCAGGCCCAGTCAGGGCTACTGTAAGGAGCTACTAAGTACTGAACTGGGCCAAACAATAATAAATTTCAAAGTGACTTCTTTCTTGGCCTGAATTTAACCCAAC